CACACACACACACACACATACACACACACACGCACGCACACACACACAGACAAGGATGTAACTTTAGGTCTACCATTGGGGGAGTTGTGCTCTCTACCTATTTATTCACTTATTGAATCATTTACTTTTGTAAAACAATGCAGGATATTTATAAAAAGTATTGTAAAGCTTTTACTGTGATTTACCTAACTTTCCTGTTTTCTTTTTATTTTACTCTGCACCTTTACTGTTCTATTCCAGTTCAACAATTACAAAACTTTTTTCACCCATTTTTTTCTGACAGTAACAAATATTTTACAGGTTTTAGGATGTATTACAGTATACAACACACTTAAATTTCTTAATATTTCAAGAGTAGGATTTACAACACATGATTCAACAAATACACTCACACTAAGAGCAGACTAAAACCCTGCATGTCATTTTTAGCAGTTATGCTAAAACGTATTTGACATCATAAATTTTGAAATCAGGTCAAAGTTACCTAAAGACAAAAAGAGGGTGGCAGCTGTGTAATTAACTAGTTAATTTTTATTGTGTTAGAGCAAATGATGTAATTTTATTTACGGGGTATTTTTACTGGATCAAATTACTGTAAGGGTCATATCCCCCATAACCCCCCTGCTAATTAAGCCCATGCACACTGACATGGGCAAAAACCACATCAGGTAATCTAAGGCCGGACCATCTTTGACATGATTTGACCTATTTTTAAGTCTCTTGCTGAGACTGGCAGTCCACCAGATGTTTCTTTGCAAAGTTCAAGAACACACATTCCCACCTGGCTGGAACTTGGCATGTCAACAGTGAAGAGACAACAAGTCAACACAAACAAGTCAGAATCAACACTCCTCCAWCTCACAAAACTGCTCAAAACTCAAAGCATAAAGGGCATCACTGACCTCTAAATGTACAACTTTCTCACTGAAATAATGTACTGGTAACATTCCTGTCAAATTAATTCTTAACTGTAAAATAAAACAATTGTTACTGTGACTTTGGGAGATATAAAAGGTAAATAATACATCAGATAATTAAATAACTAAATGCATTTTTAGGATTAAAAAATAGAAATGTTTAAAACTTACTGTTGCAAATTCTGAATGTTTTTGTTCCTTTCCCAGCGTGCAGCAGCAGCACCTTAATATATAAAATGTATTGTTTTCTCAGAGACAGTGCAGTTTTCTCCTGATTAAAAGCCCTGGAGTGTCCCTTAACACAATCTGAAAGCAGATAGATGCAGGTCAAACAGATGACTGGCTTGGTGAGGGAGCTGCACTCAGGATCTCTAAAATAAAGAGGGGCAGCTAATAACCAACTATCCCAGCGATGTCGCCTCCCACAGTGCTTGTTTAGCTCTGCGCTCAGTGCAGGAATCTGGATGTCTCCTCCCTCCTCTGTCAACCTGTGAGGCTGCTGGAGTGTTGTGCAAAAGATGTGACTTCAGCTTCCTTCCTATCTCTGAGACTTATTTTGTCTTTATTCATCCTCTGGTGTTTAATTGGACGTGTTGAATGAAATTTGTAAAGCAGCGTAGTTTAATTAAAACTATTAAGGAGAYATAATGATAAAATATTGGAACAAAAATACTCCTGACAGCTTAGGTGAACCTCTGTCCAACAAGGTGGCTGCATTGTTCATGAACTTCATGATGGTCAGTTCAAACTAAGAATTGAACATGTCTTACAGAAACACAGCCAGTGGACAGTATATTGTTTCAATTCTCTCAAAATAAGAATATTTCATACTGACAGAGCCATAAAGGAAGGACTTCACAGATAAGATCAAATGTGTCTCTGAGAGGCCACTCCTAAAACTCTTTTGTATGTGTTTGTGGTTTCACAGCTGCTGAGGAAGCTGCTTTTTTCCAGTGATACCTAACAGTTAAGCTAATGAGTCATGTTTAAATATTTTTGTCACTCAGTAAATTCTCTACTTTTTGTTTCAACCAAATGTTTGCTGGTCCATGATGGTAATCCTAACAATGTGTGTGTGTGTG